AAAGAAATAGACGACTAGGGGGAATGCATCACGATTAACAGTTGTTAGAAGAACTCTCGCAGCAGAATATATTCTGTATTAGTTTGAATTGTTAATGGATTTGAATCTCTTTCTAACCTTTCTTTGTCTAAACCTGTCGGGATTGACAACTTGTTATGGAACAATTTCCGAGTAATTAGCTAGGGCAAGTATTCAGATAATCATAGAGTAATATGTTTATTATATACCTTACATAATTTAATAGAAAGGATCGGATGTCCGGCAATATTCAGATACTTATATAGATGTGAAGAATTGATTATTCTAAACCTAGCCAATAGCTGTATTTCGTGTAATGAGTATTGCATTGGGCATGCAAAAAGGACTTGCTCATGAATATAAAACGTGCCAATTGCCCTGCCCAGCCTTTTGACAGAGTTTTTTTAATTACTTCTACTATATATATTTTTTTAACTACTTCTACTGTATATGGTTCATGACCAAAGTAATTATCTGGTTTTGTTCGTTCTCAGTCCAACTTTTGTATTTCTCAGTTGTAAAAATGGATTAATCAATGAATTTTATTAGGTTTCGATCCAATTTCATGGTAAAATGAATAAGATTCACGTCACAGTCATTGTACAAATGTTTTTTGGTTTAAATAAAATTTAACATTCATTTCAAAAAAAAAGGATAATAAGATCAAATATGGTTTCGATCCAAACACTTGATCCGTGAGGGTTCTTTCAATTTTTATGCTTCTTTACATGATCATTAAACAATTTTTTTGGATAGGTCAATTGATTAACTTTGATCTCAAATTTCGTTGTCAAGACTGCATTAAAAATGAATGCACTCTAAATCCTTGTAATCTTGGTCTCTCAAACAAGATTTATTGGTTTGTGAAGTTTTGCTAATTAAAGGTATTGTAGTCTTCCGTTAAAATTATAAATGTAATTTCTTATACATTGTCAGAGAATAGTTAGATCGTAAGATTGCTCGTGCTTGTACTAGTATGATTCACAATAATAATTAAAGAGTCAAATAGGATCATAGGAGAAGAAAGAAATCATTTTTCGTGTACGCAATATGTCTTCCGATCCATGGACACTTTGATAACTGATCCGTAATGGAATTTAGGCCCAATCGATAAAAAATCCTCTCATTCTCTTAACGTCTGCATAGTGACATAAAATTTCAAAATCATCGAGAAAAATACCATTGCAAATTTGCAATGAACCATATCTGTTATCTTAAGAAATATAACACGTTGACTAGTGACATAGAATTGGGAGAGGAATATTATTGCAATGAACCCATACATTATTTTAAGGAACATATCGGGTTACATAATTTTTGACATATATATATTTGACCCCAATAAAAAATTATCAGAGGAAGAATTAGGACCAAATAAAAATAGCATGAACGAAAATATTCGGTGTTGATGTTGAGGATCATATGTGTACTAATTTATTGTAAATAAAATTACATCGAACATTTTTTAGTTTTCGGAGTAAACTGAAGTAAGAAACTTTTTGAGACGTCGATTATAGACACAAGGTCTCTCCAAATGTGCCAAGTGACCTGCTTTTTTAATGCAATCCATGGTTGCATTTTCGCCTATTTGCCTTTGAAACAGAGTTGAAATGAGAATAAATATAAATAGTAGTACTGCCAAATAATTTCAATGAAAATAATTATTGTATTGAAGCTTACTCTTGCATGCTCTTCGCCAATTCGAGGTTAAAGAGTTGATCACTTTCGCCCCATAAAAGATGTATTTTCTGCACAACCAATTGATGTGTTATGTGGTCATGTTTTAATGTATATTTTCTTGTTAAGTATTTTAGTGTAATCCCTTATATATTAATTGGAGAGTGATTTGTGAGAAGATATTTATGTGTCATCTTCACAATCACTCTCACCAAAACAATTGTGACATGACAATTTTGAATCAACAATAAAATTTTCTACAACTAAATTTATAATTGTTACCATATATTATCAGATTTTTGTTTTTATTTAATATTATATAAAAATTTGGTTTTTCATTTAAAAATAGTTTAGAAATTGATTATTGTAATAATAAAATTATAGAACATTTTTATAGGATATAAATTCTTTTTGAA